TATTTCAAAATAAAAAAATTTAATGATAGAAAGTAATGTGTTGATTCCAGGAACTCCCTAGCCACTCCTTAAATTTTTAACTAAAAAATTTTAAGATTAACATACCCAATTTTTAAAGATATATATATATATATATATATATATATATATATATATATATTATGTACCTAAAAGTTCTAGTTAAAATGTATGTGTATCTTAAGTATGTTTTATACAGTAATGCTAAGGAGCCAACAGTTGACTCCTTAGCATTATTGATGTTTTATATTTCTCATTAGCCAGCTCCAATTGATATTGTACATTAAGTAATTTTATCAGTATTTTTACTCTTGGATTTAATGAGAGCTATAAGTTTTCTCATCATTCTTACCCCTTATTTAGTTATTCTAATACTATTAAATAATTAAGGACCTTTCAAAGTATCTTGTTTGTTTTGAAACAAAAATGACTTATTATCATAAATTAAACGACAATTACATTGAATGTGTTATATTTTCTATCAATATCAAAATTTTCGTAATAATAGTTGCACACAATATTATATATAATGCATTTTTTTTTATATAGATTTGGAGTCCTACTTTTACTACAAGAAAATGAGAAAATTCCAACGAAAATTACAACAAGAATATAACGTTCTTCTTAAGTTGAATTGAGAAAAATCATATCTTTTGGTTTCTTAAATATATTTTATCTTATTGTGATTGTATTGATTTATTAAAATGTATAACAAATGAGAAAGGTGATAGATGATGTAACGTATAATTTATAAATTACAATGACATGTTATTTTGATGATATATTTTTTCTATTAACTAAATAATGCCCCCAATATGAAATTATTTTGGATCTATCACTGCAACTAGCTCTCCAATGGAATTTCCTTTGAATTTTTGCACTATTCCAATGACAGTTTTTCCAACGATTGAATATATGGTCCAAAAAAATTCCAATGGAAATTCAAGTAATTGAAATCTTTAAATCCACTAAAGTTCATGTAATTTAATTTGAACTCAGTAGGAATAGCCAATGAAATTTTCCAATGAAAGCAATATTGATGAAATATTTGTTGGAGTTTTCTGTAGAATACCTTACCGTTGAATTTTTCATTGCAATATAGCAATTTGTTGTAGTCCTCTTAAACATTAATTTTTTATGTAGTATTTATTGATTAATAGTGTTTACAATTTTTCTATTAAAATATATTAAAAACATGAACTTTTTAGTTCCTATATTTTTTTTTTTCCAGAAATTACTCAATATTTTATCTCAAGATTACCTATTAATTTACCAATTGAGTTACATTTCTTACATATTAAATATTTAAAAGTTAGAATATTTCTTATTTTATATGTTCAATATGATATTTATATATTATATTAAAAAAACTAATATAGCAAATAAAAAGTTGTTTAAAATTAGAATAATAAAGATTTGCTTTTGGTAACTTACATGGATAAATGGACAAATAACTATTATCTATTACATCAAATTTACACATAAAATTATAAGGACAAAAAACTAACAAGCGTTTAACAACTCAACTCGTTTACATTGATAAGTATATTTATAAAAGGTTTATATTTCTTCTAATAATTATAACATTTTTATTTATTACTTTGTTTCATATTTATTAGTACGTGTCACAACTTATTTATTTTTAATATTATTTATCATATTTAATATTTTTTTAAACTTTTATCTTGTTCTTTTACATGTTCTTAACTGTAGATTTGTCAAAAAATGCATAATATAAAGTCTAGAATTTTTTCGTTCATCTGTCTCATTATATATCAATTATTTCTATATCTTATATTATATTATATTTAATTACAATTTTTTTTAATTTATACTGTAATTGAATATTTATAATTCATAAATTCCTCAATAATATTGTCGAGTCAACTTTTGTTCAAGAAATTTTAAAAAACATAATTGTTTACAATTATTTGCTTATGCTGAATTGAGGCAAGTTATGTTTTTTAAATTGTAGCTGTATTGATGTGTAACATGTATTATAGATGAAAAAGATGACAAATTATGAAAACTATAATTTATAAATTATAATGATATTATGTTATTTTAATGGTATACCTTTTCTATTAACTAAATAATGCCTCAAGTATGAAATTATTTTGTATCCACCATTGCAGGTAGATTTTGAATAAAACTTCCATTGAAATTCTTACAATTCCAGTGACATTTTTTCCAACTGTTGAAATATGACCAGAAAAAAATTCAAACAAAGATTCACACAATAATAAATAATGATAATTAGATTAATTAAATCAATTGAAATTTCAATATAATGTAATTTGATCTCTGGTGGAATAGTCAATGAAATTTTTCAATGACAGCTATACGAATAAAATATCATTTGGGATTTTCAGTGGATATGTCTTACCATTGGATTTTTCATTGCAATGTACCATTTTTTATTCCTTTATAAATTATATTTTTTATGTAGGAGATTTTGTTATTAATTAGATGTATTTATAATTTTTCTACTAAAAATATATTAAACACATTAACTTTTTAATCCGTATATTTTTTAAGAAATCCCTTATTATTTTATCGCAAGACTACCTATTAACTTATCAATTGAGTTACATTTCTTGCACATTAAATATCAAATAATAAAAATTATTATTGTATATATATAATATAGTATTTATATATTATATTTAAAAACTAATAGCAAATAAAACGTTATTTAAAATCAAAATTATCAAAGATTTTTTTAAAAAAATAAAAATAAATTTCTAACCTACATGGATAAAAGTATAAATAACTATTGTCTATCGTCTAAAATTTATACACTAAACTAATAAAAGCAAAAATTTAACATGTGGTGAACAATTTGGCTCGTTTACATCGATAAGTACAAATTTAAAAGTTCTACAATTACTTTTACTAATTATAATATTTTTATTTATTACTTTTTTTCATAGTTATTAGTAAGTGTTATAACTTAATTATAAATTTAATATTATTTATTAGATTTATTATTTTTTAACTTTAAATTGTTTTTCCATGTGTATTTTAATATATATGTGTCTGTGTGTGTATAACTTTTAGGTTTGTTAAAAAATACATAAAATTAAAGTATAGCACGCTTTTGAATCATATGTCTTATTTATATCAATTAATTTTATATATGTATATTATATTATATATAATTATAATCTTCTCATTTATACTCAAATATATAAATTTTTTATTTCGTACATTTTTTTTCTTAAAAATCATTTTATTATAATAACACCTATTAATAGATAGATGAGTAATGATAATATATGAATATACTTTTTTGATTAAAATTAATTAGTTTTCAACATGTAAATCATATCATGATTCTAGAGATATTTTTAATTAATTTGTAGATAATTATATGGTTAAAATTAATCCATATTGCTAAAGTGGTATCTCATTTGACATGAAAACAAATAGATTAAGTTTTAGTATTATACAATATCATAAAATTGTTTTGGTCTTATGTACCGAAGAAATTGAATTGATTAGAAGTTTAGGTTGCAGAACAATCATTCAACAATTAATCTCGCATACTATTACACATTATGTATAGGTTATTTTATTATGCTTTTTTTGTTGGATCAATTTTAATTTCTTTAAAGAACTTTTATATATTAGAGTTATGAAATGTGATTACAATATTACCATTAAAATTAAATTAAAAATAATGACGTTTTTTAAAACAACAATTCTATATCCTATCAAATAGTTTTAGAGATATGTGGAAGAAAACAAATTCGTGAGAAATAATGGTGCCAAACCAACATATTGTAGTTGATTTTAGGAGTGGAATGATTTGTTTATGTAGTTGTATGTAATTAATTAAATATTAGTTATAATTAAAAATATAAGATATGATGGACATTAGTATATTACTAATTTGCTATTAAAAACATGTCAAAGTAAGAGTTTTTTAGGTAATTTATTTTTATATTTAAAAATACAAAATATGATGTGTATTAGTGTATTACTAATTTGCCATTAAAAATATGTCAAAGTAAGAGTTTTTTAGGTAGTTCATATTTTTATAAAAACACTCGTTCTTTTAGAGTAGTATAGATAAATAAAATCTATAAAATGTGATGTGCTCATTATCTAATTTATCGAATATTACAACATCATAGTGAGCATATAATAGACCACCTTAGATTTCTTCATACATCACATTCTAGCCTAAAAATTACATATAAAAGAAAAGGAAAAAAAATCAATAAAAATGTTAATCTTCAAAAAATTACACTCCTGGCTCTCTACTTCGACTCTCTTGTGCAGATCGAGCCTTGAAACTGTCTGCATCGAAACTTCTCACTCTTGCTTCA